GCGGTCAAACCAAAACATGGCACCAGTCAATGAAATCCACAACAGTTAGTCTAAGTCACGTAGGGAGATGTAGACTTCCTGGTTGGGGTCCTCGGGATGGTAAAAACAAATGGTTGGAAACAATTGGTGACATGGCTCAAAATCGTTCTCAATGGCGCAGATGCATCCACTCCTTGTGACTCATGATTTCCAATGAAACTGTTTTGTTCTTCGTTATTACTATTCCTTTGTCTCACACCTCTGTTTACTATCTATATTATGCATTTCTCCTACTTTCTTCTCTTCCTTTGTGTGCTACATGGAGTGTGGTGACTTGAACTTCCGCACATATGTGCAAAGTTCTATGTCGAAAACCGACCGACCGGCCGACCGAGTTAACTTTCAATCAATGAGTCCCAGGTTCGAATCCCGCTGCACTTACTTCAGCCTGGGCAACTGGAGAGTATAATTAACCCCTATACAATACGGGTGGCTTATAGCTCAGTACTGAGTAACTGAGACCTAACTAATCAACTAACCATCCCCACCGGGGATCATACGTGGTTCCCTCAGTGATGTGAATTCGTGGTCTAACTTTAAAATAATCAAATCTTCAATCAAAGTATCCAATACAATCCTACAGGAGGTCAATCGCCAGCCCGAAAAGCGCAGTGGTAATATCTCTGATTGAAGCACTGGGTGACAGGCGTTCAAATCTCAGAAGGAACATGTGTTATTTCTTCAAGATTGCAAATATGCCTTGTTGACTGGTGAGTTCAAAATAGCACGAAACCTAGGTGTCTAAGGCTTCCAGCCAATCATAACCTACCATATAAATCTCTACAAACCAAATTAACAAACAATCAACTTTATGAGAGACATCATACTTTGAAAGGTGTAATCCTATCCAGATAACTTACACACACACACACACTAGTTTTAATTTCATCACTTTCACTAAAAACAAACAAATATCTATGTAAAATAAATTAACACAGCATTTGCGTGTAATACATCAGAAATTATCGATTACGACGAACTATACACACAAAGAAACACCCACACAAGCATATGATTGACAATACAGATATCGTCAACCTAAGGATTGATTTTAGTGCTCATATAAAAGTCTAGAAGAAAAAATGTTTAGATATGTCAATTGGTGGAAAACAGTGAACAAATTTGACCGCATGCTTTACAGGCAAGTGGACGGGGTGGTAATGGGCTCCCCATTGGGTCCCATTCTGGCTGATTTCTTTCTAAGTAAGCTAGAAAATGGACCTTTAAACAACCTTATCAGTAAGCTCTCATTTTATTGCCGATATATGGATGATATCTTTATTCTTTGTGATAATGGTTCTGATAGGAGTACAATAATTACTGAATTCAATGAAGTACATTCGGCTATGAAATTCACATGCGAAGAGGAATCCCAAGACAGAATTGTTTTCCTGGATGTCCTACTTACAAGAAAACCAGATGGCAGCATAAAAAGAAATTCGCGTAGAAAAAGCACATAGAAAGGACAAGATACACATTTTCACAGCTTCGTTGCTCTCAAGTACAAAAGAAATTTAGTAAAGACCCTCAGCCACAGAGTTAGAGCTATATGCCTACAGGAAGTAATTGAAGATGAATTCAGCATTGTATATGATATTTTGATCGAAAATTTGACAAATTTATCAAGAAACACATGACAAAGAAAGCGGAAAAGGACTACTCACTGTCTGTAAACAAGAAGCCTTTACATATACGACTACAATTCATGGGCGATATACCAAGCGAGATAATTACGAAGAAATTAAGAAAATCAGTTCAAAGAACTTTTAATGCTGGCGAACTACACGTATTATTCTCTACACGACCGATGGTGCTACCTCGACTGAAAGATGAAGTACCTAGACTAGCTAGCCACTTCAAATTGTATCTATCAATTCAACTGCGCTTGTGGAGCGAGTTATATTGGCCGTTGCTCTAGGAACTTGATTTTTCGTGCTCGCTCGGGAACATATCCCACTATGGCTAAGTAAAGGTGTAGTTAAAACTATTAACAGCTCGATATTAGACCATCTGGTGCAAACCGGTCACAAAGCCAGCGTTGAAGAATCCTTCTCTATCATCTACCGGGTGCCAAATAAATTGCCAAAATCGTCGAAGCACCGCATGCTCCAAACAACAGAGGCTATTGCAATTCGCCTCAAACAACCAGTGCTTTGTGTGCAAAAGAAGCAAGTCCAGCCCCTACTACTGCCCTGGCCCTCAGTAGACACTATAAACTCATGAATTTGTACTATTATCTTTCATAATTCTTCTGACAATCAGTTTATTTGATGTTGATGCTGTTCAGCTGTAATCTATCAATATTATTGATTTGATGTTATTTAAACATTAATGTCGTTCATAAGACTAATTCATTCATTCATTATAATGTATATATAATTGTAGAACTTGATGATGAATTTATCAAAAAGAGTACTCTTTGTTCTGTGTCCGTTCTTTTGAAAATGCAGAATTAATAACTCCCAACACATAGACATATCTCATAAGTCGATTTTGATAGAAGATAATTTGTAAGGTGATAATGCTGAGGAGACTCATAAATTCGATGAACAGGGAAACAAAACATTTTGAGTTATTGAATTTATGAAGTTATGACACTTTTTTATTTGAATTCCATGAAGAAAGTCCCATACATTTCACACCGCATAATCAAGAAATAACTCCACGAATTTGAACAACGGACAGCAACAACAACAACGGACCCATAAAGATATGTGTGACACAAATACACATACGTATTAAAACGACACATAGAACTTGAAGGAGTTCCTTAAACAATAAAGGTTACTACAATTTATATTTCCGAGCGTTAGTCTATAGGGATTTGATTTATTTTGAAGTACGATTACAAGCGGACAGCATTTAGAATCATTTGGAAACCAGGGACTAGTTTGGGACTCTTCATCAATATGCACACTCATCGGGGTTCCACCAATCCAGGACTTCCATTGTTACAAGAGCTCATAGACTATTTAGCTTGAGGACAAGTACTCGCCAATGACACTGGGACTGCTGGTTGCGGTAAAATTATGAATTAGTAGAAGTTGGAATTCATCGGTTGGCCACTGGATCGAGTCCCAGTGGCTTAACAGTCTATGAGCTCGCCTTGCAATCAGAAGATCCTGGTTTCGAACTCTCTGTGGCTGGCGCCTACTGATGAAGAGTTACAGACTAGGACGAAACAGCTCCCAGTCTTTCCAATGGCTCTCTAACTGATGTCAGCTCGTGATCAAACTTGAAAACAATCTGTATCACTCAGTTCTATTTCATATTTGTGCTGATAGCATAATGTAAAATGATAGTGAAGGCAACACTTCCAAAATATCATCTTTTTTAGTAATAAGTTATATGATTAATTATATCATCGGATATCCCAAAGGACGCAGATTTGATTCACTGGTGTAAGCACTTGACTTTCGGTTAGCACACCCCGGGTTCGAATCCCACTCCATTCACTTCAGTCTAGTCAACTAGATAGTATCATCTGGGATTAATCGATAAGTATGGCTCACAACTTAGATATTCGCCTCAGTGGAAAAAAAACAGGTTCGAATTTAAAAGAAAAGAAAATTTAAAGTAGACAAATCAACACTGACGACTGGAAATTCACAGCAAAAATTTCAGCTAGGAGAATTTGGGAAGGGAAAACTACCAGTAACTGTGGTGATGAACTTCAGCAATGGACAAGAAAATGAGGATGAGGAGCTGCACAAACAACTACTTCAAACCAATTTTGAGACCGATCAGATTTTAAGTAAACCCATATATTCAAATGTTGGTTTGCAGGGATTTGAGATTGGTTTCAGGATTTTATCATGAACTGACATCGGTTAGAGGACTATTGGAAAACCTAGAAGTACTGGACAGCTGTTTCGTCCTAGTTCGTGACTCTTCACCGGTATGCGCCCGCCACAGAGGGACCAAACCCAGGATCTTCTGGCTGCAAGGCGAGTTCATAAACCATTAAGCCACTGGGACCCAATCCAAGGGTCTATGAATTCCAACTTCTGCTAATTCATACTATGGCGCTACCACGAGCGAATGTCATTGGCGAGTATTTGTCTTCACATCCGATCTGCTGTACCCCCCACTAATCACGACTTCCAACTAGAACCTGGGTAACTACCTACCTGAATAGGGCCAGTCACTAGTGAGCATCAGATTGATGTTCAGTTGTTGGTTTGCAAGGATTTGATTGGTTTAAGGATTTCATGAAATTGGATGACAGCCACGTGAAGGTTTACAATTCTGCTTCGATTTACAGGATGCAACCACATAACTTATTTCATTATTAACAGAGATCCAAAGAGAACATTGCAAACATCATGATACAAAGGGAAATGTAGTAACCGATGAATGTTCATTCACATGTGGTCGTAGTTTCGTCAGTGTGTACAGCAATTCAAAATAGATTTTAGGCGTCTCAGTCGATGCAGCTATAAAAAACTTCATCGATAGATTTCCCCTCCTTACCTAATACTCTATGCCTAAACTCAGTATTACTCGCCATATTATACCACCTAACATGGGAGATAGAACGCAGACACCTGTAATGAAAGACAGTCTTGTCGTGTTTTCCACTTTTCAGTGGCCATGTCTCAGTCACAGTCGTAAAGGATGACGGAACGAACTGCTGCTGAGTAGTACATATGTCCTTTGATTGATAGCCGGATATCACGTCTACACTAGAGATGGTGTGAGTAAGCAAATCCCACACAAGCTTTATGCATCCGTGCTGAAGTTTCATCAGTAATCGACCCGTTAGGGCTGATGCAACTTCCCAAATAAGTGAAGTGGTCAACTCGCTCTCCCATTCCACTCTCTCTAACTCTTTAAGTTAGGAGTTGACGTAGTCCAGTCCTCTAGCATCATCTTACAACTGATAAGAGCAAACAGCATAAAATGTAGCATTAACAATCGGTGAAATCATCATTATTGATAATGAAAAAATAGGCACTTACACAAATCTCCATAAGATTTATTCGTTTTTTCAATTTGACATTCAATAATAAGGATTGGATCAACAATAGAATTATCATCTTGATGATTTTGATTATTAGAAGAATAAGAATAGGCAAGTATTGATACCTATGAAAAACATAAAATAATGGAGGAGGAAGAGGAGTAATATTTAACTTTTGAATTTTCTAAGGTTTTTGATTTTCAAGTATTGGTTTTGTAGGGATTTTGTTTGATTAGTTGGAGGATTTCATCATGAGCTGATATCAGTTAGAGAACCACTGGAAAACCTGGGAGTACTGGACAGTCGTTTCGTCCTAACTTGGGACTCTTCATCAGTACGCACCCATCGAGATTCGAACCCACGACCTTCTGGTTACAAGGCGAGCTCGTAGACCATTGAGCCACTGGGACCCAATCCAATGGTCCTTGAATTGTAACTTCTGCCAATTCACGACATAGCGCGACCATTTCCCAATGTCTACTTCGATGAGTTACTGCCTCATCTTCAACCTGCTGTACCCTACTGGTCACGGCTTCCCACTAGAACTTCAGGTTAACTGCCCGAATAGGGCCAGTGACTTGTGGTAGGGATTTTGTTTGATTGCATGGAGGATTTCATTATGAGCTGTCAACAGTTAGAGAACTACTGGAAAACCTGGGAGTACTGGACGTCTGTTTCGTCCTAGTTTGGGACTCTTGGTGGGTGTGCACTGATGAAGTGTCCACTACTCCCAGGTTTTCCAGTGGTTTTTGATTTATTTCAATATAGTTTTCGTCACTAGGCAATATCAGTTTGATGAGAAAATCATCGAAAACCAGTAAAACACGAAATATCTATTTCAGTTTAGTTTGAGACTCTTCTACAGTGTACACTCTAGACCCAATCAGGTTTACAGAAAGTGAAAGACTTTAAGGTGGATGTTCTACATTTCTTTACTCCATCTTCCTTTATTTTTGTATATATGACCATTGAAAGTGGAAGATACCAAAAGGCTGGTTAGCTGTCTTTGATCAAATATGTCCGCGTTCTGTCTTCCATGTTAGGTGAGATAATATGGTGAGTTGGGTCAGAGCAGACTGTGATGGGAAGTCACGGCTGTCTGGCTTCACCACGTCTAGTATATATATATCTAATGTTCATCAATGGCATTGCTTTTTGCTGCCCCTCTATATTCATGAATAATCCCCATCAAGACATTAAATGAAAACAAAACATGCAGTTCAGCTAAACTACGTGTTTTGTTTTCATTAATGTCTGGACGGGGATTATTCATGAATTAAAAGAGAGCAAGGACACCCCACCCCGACGGTAAAGGAACTCAATGGATTTCTTCGGTACTCTGTCAAGCTTGCTGTATTGAACGCGAAAAATATTTCTTTTTTCGACGATTGTGTCAGTAATCACGAATATCTTAAATGGTTCTGGAAAGCACTGAGATGGAATCCCATGTATACTAATACAAAGTCACTCAGACGTCATGCACTGAATTGCGCCGATTCCATTGGATCATGAATCCCAGAACTCTAACGGAATATTTCCCAAAGATCTTCAGCCCTATACGAATTACTCCCGGCTGAACGTGAGAGATTCATGGGACACGTTAATATAGTTGCCAAGATGAGGTGACAGTCTGCTCCCACCCAACTCACCGATAGTCTCAAGCCAACCAAACTCCACAGTAAATTTCCTGATGACCCTACGGAATTTGTGTCTAACTTCTCTTCAGTAATTGTATCTGACTCACAGCTAGAAGTCTTGTCTTTGGGCCCAAAATTCTGTGATATCAATTTCAACGTCGAAAAACTCCATACTCATGTACAGTTTAAAAATTTAGTCACACAAACGAATGAATGGTCGACGGACAGCCTGCTTAAATCACTGGGCTACTAGAATTTCCATCCATCAAAATGTTGCTTAAACTCTTCTGCATTTCTTATTGTTTTAATCGTGCAATTATATTAAATGACCACTACATGAATTCGAACACCTATTTAGTTAGCTTCCAACTCAACGCTGTGAGATTCTTGTAGGAGATGAAGAGAATATGCACAGAATTGATTCTCTCTTCATATACGTCACATGGTATGCTTCAGATTATTACTCTATATATGTAAATCCCATATGAAGACGAAATATTTTGGAACGCTGAAAATGTTTGTACTATGTGTTAACATACTTTCTCAAATAAAGCTTTATTATTAAATTTTCTATGATTAGTTTGTAAGGATTTGATTTGTTTTAACGAGTTTCACCACGGATTGATATCAGTTAGGGAACCATTGAAAACCAGCCACAGTGAGTACTGGAGAGCTGTTTCATCTTAGTTTGGGAATCATCCGCAGCACGCACCCACCAACGGGGTTTGAATCCAGGACCTTCCAGTTACAAGGCAAGCTCGTATACCATTCAGCCACTGGGATCCGATTCAATGACCAGTCAGCGCATGAGTTCTAACTCCTACCAATTGGTGATTTAGCGCGACCCCAACCAATGTCGTCGTCGGGTCCCAGTGACTGAATGGTATACGAGCCAGCTTGATTTGTAACCGGAAGGTCCTGGGTTCCAACCCCATTGGTGGGTGCGTACTCCCGATGATTCCCAAACTAGGGTGAAATAGCTCTTCGTTCAGTACTTCCTGGTTTATTATTTTTTTTAAATATTAAAGATTCTTGAGAGTTCGATCACTGATGACGTGTTGACTACCGAAGATTCCTAAGCTAGGACAGTGTTCATTGATTTTCGTGACAAAATCTCCGTTGAAAGAAGTTTTCATATTTCTCTACACAAATCTCCCAATGAGGACATGCGCACACGCACACACATGCATACATGTTAATATTCATAGAATAGGAGAAATCAATGAGAATTATGCAGTTTAGTTTTCTATTGATTATTTCAATTTTGCTGACAGGTCAAGTAGTGAACACAACTCATGTATGCCTATAATCTATTTAAATGTGATAGGAGTACGCTTATAACATTGAATAAAAGTACGCATATAATTTATTGTGGACAAAAGTGCAGTAACAATCAGGACAATAAGAAGTGTGTGTGTGTGTTTTTCAAATTATTGATCTGCAGAACAGAATTGGTCAGTATCAGAGTAACCTCATGAAGTCTTTGCATAGATAAACATTACAAAATTAAATAAAGTATAATTATATTTTAATAGTTTACACACAATGATAAGTTTTGTTATTGGTAATATTTCGAGCAAAATTACTGCCCGTGTTCACACCACTGTTGGAATTGTTTGATTCCCAACAGTGGTGTGAACACGGGCAGTAATTTTGCTCGAAATATTACCAATAACAAAACTTATCATTGTGTATAAACTATTGAAATATAATTATACTTTATTTGATCTAATCCACAATGCTCAAACTTTTTACTGATATTAATTACAAAATTACATAACGACAGAATCCAGTATGCAGAATTTCGTTCTCTATAAAAGACACATAGATTAGGTGTATTATACCAGCACTCCGATGGTGTAACCCCACCGATATGAACAATTTTGTGTCATCTACTAAGTCTACTGAGTTATGATAGTGTTACATTTTATTCAACAGATATCAGTTTATCATTGGAATTTTCGAACGTTTTCATTTTCCACTTACTAGATTAAAATGATTACAGATAGGAGTTTAAAAATACCTATTGAAAACTATTTATATATACATATATATATATATATATATATCCACATAGGCGGGTAGTGACAATACTGGGTTACGTTTTCAATACAAAACATCTCCGCACACAAGATTTTGGTCATGCAGATGCTGTCTCACAACTAATAAGCGACTATCCTTCCTCGAACGATGAAGCGGTTATTGCATTGCTAAAGACGGAGAGTTACGCACAGAATTTGTTGACGTGTGCCATTGAGCTCCTGTAGATTACAATAGGGCAAATAAAGCAAGCCACAGAAACAGATGAGGTTTGAGGTTCGTCCGAAATTCCTGGCCAGCATCTGTGTCAAAATATGACGTCAAAGAACTATTTGCTGGCGTCATCGTCTCAGTATTATTAATGACTATCTAATGTTTGGGGAACGAGTAGTAATACTTGACACCTTGCAACAGATCATGTTGAAACAAATTCATTACTTACTGGCCAAGTATGGATGCTGATATAACTGAATTCGTCAGCCAATGAATGTTAATCATATCAAGCCACAGCCAAAAGCCAACCACGAGAACAACCGAAACCACGACCACCAACATCACAACCATGGTTCCGACTACATTTGGACTTCTCTGGGCAGGTGAATGGTATTTATATTTGGTTCTAGTGGAAGCTTATTCACAGTGGTCAAATGTAGTGCCAATTACCCCGCGTTCCCGTAGTCGTACAGTAGAAGCACTCACTAAAATCTTCGCATGCTATGTCATTCCGGAGACTATTGTATACGACAACGGCAGTCAGTTCACAGTGCAAGTATTCCAAGATTTCCGTCGAAGTGACAGTATACAACAGGTGCGGAAGCCACCTCATCACCTCCAACCCAATAGTCAGACACGAAGGTTTGTGGACACTCTCAAGAAAGTTATAGTAAAAGCGGGGGGGGGGAAGAGCTACACTAAAAATTATGCAGCAGTTCCTTTTCGTATACTGCAGGACGCCAACGACAGAACGGAAGAAAAGTCCACAGGAACTTTTAGTGGGATGGATGTTGCGCACCCACCACCAAGTCATTGGAACAGTACTACGGGTTATTTCCCAAAGGGTGACCTATTTGTTGTTGACTGTTTTAACTTATCAGTGTAATTAGTGTCTCTCAAGGCCATTTAAAGCGAATATATATATATATACATACAATTGCTGTCAACCCTTTTCGCTGTTGATTCGAAACAGTGAATGCTCCTACGTGAACGTTTATACTTGAAATTTGATCTAATTTGGCTCTATTGAAACACTTCAGTTTAGTTGCTAATCACAGTTAAATTTTCAGGTATTGGTTTTGCAGGGATTTTGTTTGATTGCATGGAGTATTTCATCATGAGCTGACATCAGAGTACTGGACAGCTGTTTCGTCCTAGTTTGGGGCCCTTCATCAGTACGCCCCCACCAAACTAGGACGAAACAGCTGTCCGGTACTCCCTGCAGGTTTTCCAGTGGTTCTCTAACTGACCTCAGCTCATGATGAAATCCTCCATGCAATCAAACAAAATCCCTACAAAACCAATACTTGAAAATTAATCTAATGCTCACTAGTGACTGGCCCTATTCAGGCAGTTAACCTGGGGTTCTAGTGGGATGCCGTGACCAATAGGGTACAGCAGGTTGAAGATGAGGCAGTAACTCATCGAAGTAGACATTGGGAAATGGTCGCGCTATGTCGTGAATTGGCAGAAGTTACAATTCAAGGACCATTGGATCGGGACCCAGTGGCTCAATGGTCTACGAGCTCACCTTGTAACCAGAAGGTCCTGGGTTCGAACCTCGGTGGGTACGTACTGATGAAGAGTCCCAATCTGGGCTGACGAAACAGCTGTCCAGTGCTCCCTGCAGGTTTTCCAATGGTTCTCTGAATGATGTCAGCTCATGATGAAATCCCCCATGCAATCACAGTTAAACACAAAGAGAATTTGATTGATAGATTGTCAGACTGATTTTCAGTACATATTGATGAGAAATAGGTAAAATAAAAATGAATAGATAGTAGTGAACATGTTTTAAGAAGAAGAGAGGTCTACTTACATCACTAGGTTTACAGTCTTCAGGTAACAGTGAAGAGTCAGTGATGAGGACAGCTCTTGCACACCATCTGTAGGGAAAATTATAAAGTTTTTATTTATAGGAATAATAAATAAAATTGTAGGAAACATAATACAATATAAAACTCAACATGCAAATCAGCGATCACATGCATATATGCTTACGTACTAGGCAACGAGCCATGCTGAATGTGCGTGTGTATGTGTGTGCAGGATCATGATATTGCCAAGTTGTTCAAGACAAAAAGAAAGGCACCACAAGATTTTCAAAACCTGAGACGCATTGAGAAGCATAGTAGGAGAATAACCACTAGGCTAATTTATTCGTTAGGTATGATGTAAGCGGAGATTGGCAGAAAACATGAAAGATTTTTGTAGAAAATCAAAACAAGTGGTAATTCAGCGAAGAGACTCTTTTCAACGAAATTATCATCAAGCTGTACAATCGTATATTTATACGGTTTTTAAGAAGTTATAACCGGTAAGGGAATCGAATCATAGGTGTGAATGCATAAAATAATAACAATAGTATGAAATGCAATTAAAACTAAAATGTTTTTGATTATAATCATAGTTAAAAGTCAAGTGGCAAAACAATTAATGTCATATATAGAATAATTCATAGGATGGATAGAACTTGAAGGCTTAGTAGACAAACCGAATAAAATAAAAACGTTACATAATATTGTGTGAAATTTGATAGCATAGAATTTAACGTTGTAAAAAAGAAGAATTGATTTTGAATGACAAGTCGGACAAATAAAATAATACCGGGGACAGTTCAAAGTGACAATAGTGATAGTAACAATTGACGTAATAAAGGAAGAGAATACAAATTGAATAGACAAAATGAAAAATTAGTAGAGCCAAAATATGATTGGGGATTACCATACTCTAGCATAGAGGGATTAAGACCATGAATGTTGGAGGGGTTGAACGAACTTTTTCTGTACACAGAGATCTGGCTTTTATGTTTCGATAGCCAAAGCTTCAGCAACACAGATGAGTCGGGTACGTAATGATTTGGGTAAATTACCCTTTGCCTTGTAGATGGCTTTAAAGGCGGAGACTATAGAGATAGAGTGATCATTATTGGCCAGATGTTCAATGATCGCGCTTCTTATCGCTCCGCTTCCACCTCTTCGTAACCATGCAGGATAGTGTTCTTGCACCCTCTTGGACAAAACTCGAGTTGAACGACCGATATACCTAGCTCGCCACGAGCAGTTAAATTGATAAACACAAATAGAGTTGGTCAACAGCAGGATCTTGTCCTTCAGGTTATTGAACAGTAATGGTCGACTGGTAAAAACTATTCTCAAGGATGCAGCAGGCAATGCTCTTTTCAGGGACTGTGATATCCTTCGTTTCATGATATCGGAAGCTAAGTCACCTTTGAATTCCAAGCTCATGTATAGTATTTTCTTGGGTGCGGATGATAAGTCACGTTTTATAGGATTTGAATGTATATTCTTGTCTATAAAACGTAGTGGAAATCCATTTTCTATTAGGATTTTCCTCAAAAGATTTTTATAGGACTAAAAGTCTTTAGCTGTTGTGGCAACCAGAGGACTTTCGATTCACGACTGATAACAAGAAGGAGAAGAAGAAGCACCAATCACTAAAAACGGAAGAAATTTGAATGAGGTCACTTCCTTCACTTATACAGTCAGGCAGCATCGTTTCACCTACACCCGGGCACAAATTAGAATGTCAAAGCCAGCAAAGATCGAAAAAGCAAGACAAACATTGAATACTCTGGAATCAGTTTGGAAGTCTGTTGCAGTCAGCGTAGACAACAAGATTCAGACACCTTCAACAATAATATCGAATCAGGATTTCCAAGAGTCTTCTGCAGACGTTCATCAATAGACACCTTCACCATCTCTCGATACACTGAAGATTAGATGATTGGTCAGAAAGGATAAGCGAAAAGAAACTCTGGCAGAGAACCAACCAAAAACCTGCTGCCCAGCAAACATGCAGAAGAAAGTGGAGATAGATTGAATATACGCTGAGAAGACCGTTGAGTGACATCATGCGCCAAACGATAGCTCGGGTGGAACCTCAATGGGAAGCGACGAGTTGGATGTCGCTCAGAGAGTGACATGTAGGAGATTTTTTGAGGAAGACAAGGAGGGGATGACAACTTACAGGCAATTGTGGAGCTGGCTAAAGATGGCTGCAGAGAAGAGGATGAAAGTAAGATGTTCTGTTAAAGCCCTTTGTTCCGCTCAGAACCCAAAGGGATAATAATGAATAGTAGATTCAACGCTTTCATCAAAGCTTATAAACTCTTCTAATGTGTCTAATAACAACCAACAATTAGACTAAAGATTTTTTTGCCTTATTTATTTGTTTATTTATTCGTACTCAGTGGTACAATTCGCCTGACAGAAGGGTTTTAGCTGTAAACTGTCAGTTCAATGATTTCACAGCATGGTGCTTTAGGGCTAAATAGTTGGATAAATAAATATAGAGCTGACAGGAGATTAATTCATATAGTAAACAATCAGAGAATTGTGAAAGAAAAAAGTGCCCAAAAAAGTTACACCTAAATACAGGAGTTAAAGAATTAAGTGTTTATGATATACAACGGGACATACTGATACTAGTGTAAATATTAAATTTTTCGGAATATAAATAAGACCATTATACCGAAGGGTTATACTTAGTTTAGTCATTAAGATGAGTGCTGAGAGAGTGGAGAACGAGAGAGTATATCAGGATTGAAACTTAAACAAATGAGACATCCATCATATTAAAATTGGTAGAGGCATACTACTGCCTGGTAATGAACAGATAAAGAAGATTAGTTGAGACTCGAATCAGAGGATCTACTAACCAGGTTATTTAGTGCAGCATTCCAATCACTGAAAGTTTTTGAACTCAACATTTTGAGGACACCATCCAGCCAGTCTCTGCACGACCCGATGTGGCTAGTTCAAATCAGTCAACAGTCAAAGACTTTATTACATGCATTGATCATCAGGCTTTGGTTTGACCATTACCCCCTAGGTCTTTTCCAATTCAATCTCATGTCAGCTAACATTTCTCGAGGAGAGAAGGTAATGGCTTGGCATGGAGTAACACGTGTCCAATCCATCTCGATCGACGCAACTTCACAGCCTCATCCATTGACTTTATCTTCTTACCTAACACACTTTACGCTTACACGCTTAGGTACTACTACTCACCATATTATATCGTCTAACACAAAATTATTATTATTATTGTTCCCTTGGTTTCCTAGTGGAACATAGGCCTTCAACTATACGTCTCCACTTGCTTCTGTCTTCTGCTGTACTTTTCACTTGCATCCATGTTAGTCCATACTGTTTTAACTCCTCTTCACACGATCTCCTCCATGTCACCCTTGGAAGTCCCACTCGCCGCTTCCCTTTCGGGTTCCACTCGAGCACTCGCCTGACGCGCGATGTCACCCAGCGGCCTCCTCAGCGAGTGTCCAATACATCTCCACTTTCTCCTGTATATTTGTTGGGCGACTGGTTCTTGTTTTGTTTGTTCCCATAGTTTCTTGTTGGTGATTCTCTCCGGCCATCTGGTCTTCAGTATAGAGCCAGGGAAGACAACTGTTGATAAAGATCTACAACCTGTCTAACACAAAAGATAGAAAGTAAACCCCTATGGTTAAAAGACATCTGGCCTCTTCAAATCTTCCAATAGCAACAGTCACGTCTCACAACCGTCAAGCTATTAGTATCACAAAATTTCGGATTTAGAAAAAAATACTTACTGTTTGATATGTTTACTAATCCAAGAGAATGGTAAACACTCTGGTGACAGAACAATACACTTAGTTCGTACTTCTTTGCCATTGGATAGATGAACAATGATGTCATCTTGGTCATTTCTTGGTGATATAGACTGGGATGCTGACGCTGATGACGACAGAGATGTATTGGTTACTGCTGTTGTTATTGCTTCATTAGATGAGGTAGGCTCAGTGGATTGAGGTGGTCTGCGCTCAATTTTTGTTATTGTACATTCTAGACAAAATGTTGCGCCAAAAACAGCTGACATTCTAAAAATAAGATTCCAGCAAGACATTGGATTAATAGAAACTATAGAAAACGGAATTACCAATATCTTAAGCATATCGAACTTATTCTCTCTGTTGGGTGTTGTCAGCATTGCCTACACTACCTATAAAACAGTTCATAAATATTTTTGCAAAAGAGACACAAACATAGAGTAAAAATAAATTCTTAGCGCAAAGTCATTCAAAGTGGAAAATTCACGAAAGCACAACATTGCTGACATTCAGAACTACAAAGGTATAACTTTTTCTATGCATTCAGAGGCTTTTCGATAATTATTCTACCAGGATTGATGCATTCAGTTTCATCTTAATTGTTATATCACACTTATTTGTTTCGATAATGTACTGCCTGAGTGCCTGACTGGTTTCAATGCAGAACTTCGCACAGATGTGCAGCAGTTCGAGTTGCTACACTTTCTCTATATACTATACAAAGCAAGAGAAGAGAGTAAAGAGAGATAATAAATAGAAATATGAGGCAACAAGAATAGAAATATGGAAGAACAATAGAATTTTATGTGATATTATAAATCACAAAGAGTGGATGCATCTGCACCATCGAGAATGATTTTGAGCCATATCACCTACTGTCTCCAGCCTTCATTGGTGTTTACTGTCACAAGAACTCCAACCAGGAAGTCTACACCTTCCTACATGGCGTAAACCAGCTGTTGTGGATTTCATTGACTGATGAAACCATGTTTTTGTTGTACCACCACTGGCTCTTTTCCAACCAGATCCTCTACCAACTAACATTTCCCGTCGAAGAAGGTTATGGCTAGACATGCATGCGTACCACATGAACTAACCATCTCATTCAATCGATGTAACTTCACAACCTCGTTGATTGATTTCCCCTCCTTACCTGGTACTCGACCGACGCCTAACTTCAATATTGCTCACCCTATTATACCACCTAACATGGGAGATAGAATGCAGGCATCTATAAAGAAAGACAGCCAGCCAGCCTTTTCATGTCGCCCACTTTAAATGACCATGCCTCACAGCCATGATGAAGGAGGAAGGAACGAACTCCTGAGCAGTACACAGTAAACTGACAAGTGCCAAACGAGTCCTCTGTATCCGTGCTGAGATTTCGTCAGCGATCAACCCGTTGGGACTAATGCAACTCTCACTCTTCTCCTTATAGCATTATACATCCTTTGTTTGCATTCTTCTCATTTCTTATCATTTTATTACCCTCTAGACGATGTTCAAACGGGTGTGGTAAATAGAACCCACTAAGCAGTAACGCTTGACCTTATTTCAACAATATCTGAAGTACCTAGTCTTTAGCGAGTTGGATCAGTGTCTCAGTTATGCACCTCAAACTTTAAGGCACTTTAGTTGTCATCTACAAATTATATTAATCAATAGTTTATGCGCGAAAACCAACAAGTTGGTAGAAGAAGCAGAGAAGATAGAACTTTAACGAAACACAGAAAAGACAGAGATTATGAAAATATCTAACCAACAACAACAACAAGCACCAATCACTGTCAACGAGAGAAGTTTGAAGGAAATCACCGCTTTCACTTATCCAGGTAGCATCTCGTTCCAACGGCAGGCTGTGGCACGGATGAAGATGTCAAAGCCAGTCAGGATCGCAAAGACAACAGTCTGGAGATATTCTGCAATCAGCATAGAGAACAAGATTCAGATTTTCATTTCATTTTCCATTCTGTCTAACTGACACCACCCTCTTCATTCACAACTCTCCCCTTGTATCTCATCAGGTAAAACCAGAAGCCTATATAGAAAACTATAATGCTCGCACCAGCAAGTACAAAAACCCAACCATACCCTACTTAGCTCGTGTTCTGTGCGATAAAGAAAGCATTAGGCGTGATACCTATAATTCATTAAATAGTCAGTAGTACAACTGGATCTCGTCTTTCCAACTTATATCATTTGTAGGTACAACATTTTCTTTCTTTCTTTCTTTTCCTTCTCTCTCTCTTTTTTCCATTATGTGCTGCTTTGTTTCTTTCTTCCGCTTACGCCAGTAAATATGATAGAACCTACTTTTCTAACACCTTCAAACACTGTTCAACTTTGGCTTTGCTACCGACACGCCAATATGTTGTTGTAATAATGAATTGAGATTTCCTTAATCTATGTAGAATTCTATTTATCGATAATGTACTAACTGGATGCAATACTGTAGTTAAAATGCTGAAAATTCCATTCTGTATCACATGTACTGTTTTGGAATAAAGCAAATTATTATTATTATTATTAAAGCACCGAAAATATCCATTGAATCATGAAGAAAATAAAAGACAAATTCAGTGAAGAAAATTTTCTTTATCGACGAAATCGTCTTTAGAGGTTGTACGGTCGTATTTATATTTACCAAAAATGTATAGTAGTCTATTATTGAGTAATATGTTCCTTTTAAACATTTTCACAACCTCTTTACACTTGTTTTATTCTCACTCAATAGCAATTTTAACCTAATCAAATTGCTAACCATTTCTTCCTTTGTGCCATTGAGTTCATTTTTTACTACTAAAGCCACTTCTGAGTAACTAAATCAATAATACTGGCCACTGTTACTCAATAATAGACTACTATAAATTTTTAGTAAATATAAATACGACTGTACAGCCTCTGAAGATGATTTCGTCGATAAAGAAGCATTTTCTTCGCTGAATTTGTCTTTTAATTTCAAAGCAGCTTTTCTAATATGGTTTAGAGGCTCAGTAGGCATTTCTAGTAGATTTCACACCTTCACCAACAGCTGCCTTCGCTGGCTCCATATTGAAGATCACATGGCCAGTCAGAAAAGATAAGCAACATGGGACTTTGACTGGCAACAAACCAACCAAGAACTTATTGCCCCCCCCCCCAAAAAAAAGTGCAGAAGGAAATAGTGATGAATAGGAGACACATTGAGTGACAACAAAAGCCAGGTGATCGCTCGGATGGAATCCGAATAGGAAGCGAAGAGTTGGGCGTGGCTCTGAGGGTGACATGGAAGAGACTGTTTGAGTAGGAGGAGATGAGAGTGTATAGGTAGGTGATTGTGGAAGCGGCTAAATAGGACTTCAGGGAAGAGGATGAAATGGAGATGTACTGTTGAAGGTCTATTTTCCACGTGGAACCCAAGAGAAACATAATAATAACAACAATAACAACGAATCAATGAATTATGTAAATAATTCTTCCTTACACCTACTATTTACATCACAAAACATCTTTAACTCTAAGGAATTTGGACATGGAGAAGAAACAGAGTAAGATTTATAGAAACACATAACAATTTTAATATAAAGTATTAAGACTGTTTCAAATTAAACAAGTTCAAATAATTTACATACGAATCGAAAGCACGAAACTCACCGACAGTAACCTTGAGTTAAATCTCCACTGCCGTACATTGGCCATAAGATTGGATATGGTCCAAATCGACCCATAGAGAACAAAAGTCGTCTGATTCTGAAGATGGCCTATTGAAATAGAGAAATAGAACAAGTAGATGAAAGCTGCTTTTACACAGGTACACCATTGCAACTTTAAATGTCTTGAATTTCAAACACATATATATATATATATTATTACAAAGGCAACAACTTTAATTTGAATAGATAAAACTTTTTTAAATGTATATTATTATTATTAATGTTTTCTTTAATTCCTAGAGGACCATAGGGCTTCAGCCGGGCGTCTCCATTGCGTTCGGTTCTCTGCTACAGTCTTCACCGGGCTCCAAGTCTGCCCACACGTTTTCATCTCCTCTTCACATGGCATCCTCCAAGTTACCCTTGCACTGACGACCAACTCGCCACTTCCCTTTCGGGTTCCACTCGAGCAATGGCTTGTCTAGTGATGTCACTTGATGGTTTCCTCAGAGCATGGCCAATCCATCTCCATTTCTTCCTGCCTATTTGTTTCACAATCGGTTCCTGGTTGGTTCGCTCCCAGAGATCTCTGTTGCTGATCTTTTCTGGCCGGCTGGCCATCTGAACTTGAGTATTGAGCGAAGATAGCTGTTAATGAAGGTCTGTAGTTTGTTTAATGTGCTCTTTAGGACGCGCTGGCCAAGTCTCTGATCCGTACAGTGAGTAGCACTGACTTCACATTGGAGTCGAAAATTCGGATCTAATTTTTGACGCTGAGTAGTGCTGTTGACCTCCACACAGACTTGAGAGTAGTGAAAGGTTGTCTTGCTTTTCCGATTCTTGCTTTGATATCCTCGTCAGTTCCGCCGGCCTGTAGTTGAAACGATGCTTTCCAGGTAGGTAAAGGAGGTTGTTTCTTTCAGGTTCCTTCCATTTATGCTGATTGTTGTCTGTTGTTGTTGCTGTTGGTGGTGTTGCCCAGGAATCTTTATCACCTCTGTTTTCTCTATGTTCACCTGAAATCCTATGTTTGATGCTTCTTCTGACAACTTGTTGCTTTTCGCTTGTATGTCTTCCAGTTTGTGGGAAATCAGGCATATATCATCGGCGAAGTCCAGATCTTCCAAGTTGTTTGTGTGAGTCCATTTTATGCTTGTTTCCTCATTGCCCGCTGTTTGTCGCATTATCCAGTCTACTGCAATCAGGAAAATCATTGGCGATAGCAGGCAGCCTTGTCTTACTCCTGTCCTTACTTCGAAGGGTTCCGTAAGTTTCCCGTTGTGGATGACTTGGTATGCACCATTGTCGTACAGCTGTTAAATGAGATGTATAATTGTCGGCGGCGCCCCATAGTAGCGAAGTAGTTGCCAAAGCACCTCTCGATCGACGCTGTCAAAGGCCTTTTCAAAGTCGATGAATTTGAGATAGAGAGAGGTGACTGCCATTCCAAGCTTTGTTCAATGGTGATCTGTAGTGTTGTGATTTGATCCATGCATGACTTATTTCTCCTGAATCCAGCCTGTTCCGGTCGAAGTTTTTCATCCAGGGCTTGTTTGATTCTCTCTAGGATGATCCGGCTTAGTATTTTGCTTGGGATGGACAGGAGCATAATTCCGCGCCAGTTCTTGCATTGACTTGAGTCTCCTTTCTTTGGTAGTTTGAATAAGTATCCTTTTTTCCAATCTTCAGGTACTTTGCCTTCTTTCCACACCTTCTCCGGTAGTGGCGTCATCAAGTCCGCTGTTGTCTCTGGGTCCGTTTTCAATGCCTCTGCTGGGATTCCATCTGGTCCTGCTGCTTTTCCAGCTTTCAGCATCTTGATTGCCTTCAGGACTTCTGATTTCGTCGGGGGGTTGGTGTTCACTGCTAGCTCTGTCTCCGTCGTTGGTATTGTTGGGCGCGTTGTAGGTGGTGGTCGATTTAGGAGTCTTTTGAAGTGTTCAGTGTTTAAATGTATATATTACTTTTAATTCAACTTTGACTTTCCCATTGATTGGTTGAGCCGAAATGTTCGGACTCTGTTGACACGTCGGTTCCTAGTGAGGACATTTCAACGATATCTGAGGACATGCACAACATGTGTCCTGGCCACCTCAAACGATGTAGCTTCACAATCCCATCGATTGACTTTTCCTCCTCGTCTAACACTCGACGTCTAACCTCAATATCACTCATCATATTATATCACCTAACACGGGAGATAGAAAGCAGAGGCCTATGACCGAAGACACTTAGCCTTTTCATGTCTTCCACCTATAATGGTCATGTCTCACGGATATAAAGGAGGACGAAGAGAGGTACTGAATGGTACACACATTTGATTGATAGCAGGATGTCACGTCCACTTCAGATATGGTGTAATTTGGCATGCATGCATGCCCGCTGTCTGAGAACATAAGGTGTGCTACGCAAATGCTGGAGGCACAGCCGTGAACAGCTCCTCTACCTCCACCATCTACTCAGTGTTAACTCCAACCAACTTGAGGCGTTTCAGTGCGGGTATCGATAACGAGCGGATGATAGCGCTAACTCTTTGACCTCCGTCGAATTGTTGAATATAGCACCGACATTGTTCTTTCCATAAAGTGAACGGTTCCCCTGGGACGAACTTTTCTGATGCGGGAATTTCGCTTTGGCTTTGTAACTTGACGACTGTACTTTTGTGTTAGTGGTCATCAAAGCTATTTGGAACGCTCCGACCACTGCTTGAACCGTGTCAGCAGTAGGCGTTGAGGTCGGCAAAATCGATGGGGTTGATGACTTCTCCGGTAGCACTTTGGTATCGTCTTCTTGATTATGTACGTACGTAAAATCAGCAGATCCCAAATTCTTCGTATCTTGCTTTGGTTTAAACAAGTTTCGTAGTGAGATTTCACCAGCAATCAGTCCATCGGGGCTGACTCAACTTCCCAAGTAAGTGAAGTGGTCCAATACGTTCTACCACTTCACTTCTTACATTTATGCTAGGAGGTGGTGTAATCCAGTCCTGTAGCATCATCTTACACTTAACAAGAACAAATCACATGCCAAACATTAGAAGATTTCTGCTCCAGATGTTCTGAAGACTCTACATTTTATCGGCATCTTCACCTAGGAGGATCATATCACAACATATTCTAAGTCATTAAAACTATTCCGTGGTAACAAGTCAATCCTCAAGTTGCTGAAGTCAGTTAGGGTTAATTGTAACTGAATAAAGATTAGTGAGTGTTTAGAGTTTCGAAAATGATAAGATGTGTGAATAATTCCGAACTGTACTACCAACAGTCACTCCCTCTCTCTCTCTCACCATCTAGTGTAGCTGGAGACGTTCCTTAATACATAATTCACAAAGTGATAATAATAATAATAATCAGCAGACATGTGAATATCAACCAATTACCCACCTCCTTTGTTTTAATATGCTGATTGCTAAACGATAAATTTGTTATCAGTAGCTGTTGGGTAAATTTATCAAGTTTACGTTTCTCAGATAACAGATCTTGAAATGGACGATTTTCATAAGCTGAAATTCATTCATGAAAGAAAAATGCGTAAACTAGGTGAAAGAATAAATAAATAAATAATATAAAAACTAGTTCAATCAACAGTGTAACTTGAGTATGGTCATGAGTACTTTTTAAGCAATAAACTTTAAGTCAGCTGACCACTCAAATCGAAATAGCCTTAGGTGTGTTAAACTTGTCCAACAGTGACAGACAGATAATGACAAACTCTTCAGAGAGAAAAAAGATTAACTGCCACAGTTACTAAACACATAATTAACCTTATCGACAGAAAAAAAATAGTGCATACTACATGCTATTTTATTAAATAAGTACTTTAGTTTAGATATAGTAGTGTTATTGAGTGGTGTTGGTGGTTCAAGGAGAGAATGCCCGGCAGCCATGCATGAGGTCCAGTGTTCGACTAATGACCAATGTACTCCTAAACCTCGCCTACCCAGTAGTAACTTAGAAAAGGAAGGAAGGAAGGTTAGGCGTGAGACTATCAACCTCACTGTGTAGAAACATCATAAGAGTGACTGGAACTGCATAGCTTAAAACAGAACTTGAAGCTCTATGTTCCATTTGGAAAGAAAAAGCAATGAAGAAGAATGCTATTGAAGCCGTCACGTATACATTATTATTACTATTATTCATTCTGTGGGTCCCAAATAGAATACAAAGCTTCAGTGGCACCTATCCATTCCACTCGGTTCTCTGACATCACTTTCAGCCAACTCCACAACTAACCACAGGCTTTCATATCCTCCCTGCACGATCTCCACAACATCACCGCCGGACCTGCACCGAACTTGTTGTTTCTCATTTGGGCTCCACTCGAGCGATGACCTGGTGTGTGATATTACTCAACCATTTCCTTGGCGTATGTTCGCCAATCCATCTCCATTTTCTTCTGCATATTTGTTGGGTGACAAATTCTGGGCTAGTTCATTTCCAGAGTTTATTGTTGCTTACCTTTCCCGGCATTACTTTCTACCGACTCAATGTTCTATTCTGTCACTCCTGGAGTGTAATTGTGATGACAGAGATACGGGTACATAAATGCGGTTGACAGTGTAAAGCATGTTGGTAGGCTATTCAAATGTAGTAGGCGAAAATGTGTCCAAACACTAGTTCACTTATGATTCTATTTGTTGTTTGAATAGTTCAGCAACATGTTCTTTTTACCAACAATCTATAAATGTCACTATTCACATTAGTGATTACAAATACTGAAGGTGACAAAGGTTAACACGCTTGCATTGATAATGCGATTTATTTTGGTTCATATCAGGCAGGGTCTTCAATCACTAATGTCTAACATAACGAGCATCTTAGTCCGATAGCCTATACACTCTCGTGGAACTCAGTTCAGTCAATTTAACTGGTAAGAAATAACGATCCTTGACCATTATTATTACTATAATTAAAAAAGCTGCACACAGCATGAGAAACAAGATCCCAATTCCCGACACCAATGGCAAGTCAATGCTTCCATATGTGTCTCACAGACTTGGTGCGCACGTCATGCAAAAGCACTTCCAAAAGGCTACTACAGACTTTTGTCAACAGCTGCCTTCGCTGGCTGACCAGAAAGGATTAACAACAAAGAACTCTGTCTGGGAACGAGCCAACTGACGAAGAACCAATTGGAGATGGATCGGACATACTCTGAGGAGACCGTTGGACGCCAGACAGCCCCATGAGTGGAACCCGAAATGGGCGCAGGTTCAGGGGTGATGTGGAGGAGGTTGCATCAGGAAGGTGTGACACCCTGTGGGTAGTTTTGGAGCCACTGAAGCCTTATGTTGTATTTGGAACTCACTGAATGAATAATAATACTAAAAGGTAATAGTTTTAAGCCCAATTTTACAGACAGTCAATTTTCAGAAGCTAAGAATCCTGAAAACAGAGATGCTTTATTCAACTGGAATCACAAGCAACAATTTAGATAATTTATGCCTTGACAACAATTATGCATGAGATAATACTCAAAGTAAGAGGGGAAAAAAGTTGAAGCAAAAAGTAGCAGTGAGAGAATTTTTTTTTCCAAAAACCGAAAAAGAAATCAATTTACCTAAATAATCTGCGTCACGTTCAACATTCACTGTATCAGGCTGTGTATCATTGATAATCAAATGAAAACACCATTCAAAAAATGAGCCTAAAGCTCTTTTTTGATGTAAACTCAATAGACGTGTTTTAAACACATCTGAACGACAAACAGGAATCTAATAAGAACAAACAAAAATAGAAAGTATGTAAAGCAATGCAGAGAGAGAGACAGCAATAAAATTAAAACGAATCTGATTTGTTTCAAGTTTGACCACGGACTGATATCTGTTAGGGAGTACTGGACAGTTGTTTCGTCCTAGTTTTGGACTCCTCATCGGTTACAAGTCAAGCTCCTACACCATTCAACTACTGGGACCTGAATCAATGGCCGATGAATTCTAACTTATGCTAATTAGTGATTTTACCGCGACCCCTGGCCACTGGACATTGGCGAGTAATTACCCTCCCTCCCAACCGAGCATGACTTGTAACCGGATGGTCCTGGATTCGAACCCCAGCGGGTACGTACCACCGATGAGTCTCAAACTTGGACGAAACATCCGTCCAGTACTCACTGCTGGTTTTCGATGGTTCTCAAACTTGAAACAAATCGAATCTCTACAAACTAACTAACTTTTCAAATATGAATTAGACTACTCTGGAATAGTTTTGGCTTAGCTAACCTAATTGGAGTTGAAACATGAATCTGGGAGGCGGGATCATTGCACAAATTAAATCTGCAGACATTTTGGTTTCAATTTCAATCATCATACAGTCAATTCAACAGAATTTGATGGGGAAAAAAATTCCCAGTTGATCAAATTAACCCTATGGTTAGTGACAACCTCTATTAATCGACAATGTGGTTTTCAGGTTGACGACAATAGACAGTTTTATTCAGCAGTAGATAACTTCAAAATTGGAATAATTAATAATTGTGCAAGACAATAAGATTTATTTTATTCAGCGGTGGTTATTTAAAGTGATGACATTGCAAGGGTAACCAACAGACGACTTAAGAAATCCCTGGCTAGAACATTTGCTAAGGTTAAATTGATTCTTGTTTACTAAACAGTATGTTCGTTAGTTCAGTCAAAAATCGACAGATACTCTTCCTTTTCTTAACTACCAAAGAAGATACATTGGTAGAACTGAAAGATAATTTTGAAAGACGACTCTACTAGAGCCACGTGGTTACTGAGAAGACAATGCCTGACGACTACTAGCTGAATTCTCAAGTACCTGATGAAATTAGGCCGTGCAGCTCCACTATGGTTGTATTTCAAAATTATCTACAACAAGGTGAGGTCGAATAGTGCAAGGAGTGTTAAGTTTCGACGCCTGTGTATGGTGGAGGCGCTGGCAATTCGTCAGCATAACCCTAAAATCTGTTTGTAGAGAAGGTTTGTCCAATCTCTTATTCTAACATGATCTTAAACTTTTCTTTATTCCTTTGTATTCCCAGTGGAACATAAGGGTTCAAGCATGAGCTTTGAACTTTCAGTAGCAGTGGTGTTGCTTTTAATGAGGTGGGGTTGCTAGCCCCACAACCAACCTTTTCTCCTTACTGGTCTTACTACTGGCTAGGCAGGATGTAGGAGTGTGTCAGCCAGGGGTTGAACCCTGCACCACTTGCTTCGTCGGCCAGTGTTCTACCACTGAACCACCGATACGACATGGTGATATAATCATACAAATGACAAGGATTTTACTAACATAACGTCTTATATGAAGACTCTCCTGTCACTTTAATTGCTCCAGTTTTTAGTATATTGTAGAGCATTTAATAAATGTGTTTGCAGTCTGAACAATAACCTTACAGTACAGTTTAAATGGAAAGAATCTGCTTTTTCTTCAATTCAAAGTTTATGAAAGGAGAAGAGGGTGAAACTAGGCACATAAAGTCACTTCTTCAGTCCATTGTATTATTGAAACCACACAAATTCCGAATACAATAATACCAGTGGCATATAATATTAACAAGAAGTTGAAAATTTTGAAATGACTTACTTTAACTACACAACCAGATGATGGAGTTTTAGAACCAGACTGATTACCAACATCATTCGAGTTAGTCCCAGGTTGTCTAACAGTTTGATTATCAGTTGAATAAGCTAACAAACGTGATACAAAACGAAATTCCAGATAACGAGTTACATCAGCACGTAAAAGTGCAGTTACTGTAGGACTATGTGAATAAAGTATCTGAAAAGAAGAGGAACCATATTAACACCTATGAAGATTATGCAATTCTTACAAATAAAAAAGTTATGGTAAAAACCAACAAAAATTTTTGGATAAACCCATAATGAAAACCCTTATTATTATTTTATTACTGTTCCCATGGGTTGCAAATGGAACATAGGGCTTCAACAGCATATCTGCACTCTGTTCTATGCTTTATGGTACTCTCTAACTGGGTCTACGATTACTCATACTCTCTCATTTCCTCAATTTCATCCTCAGATGCTCCACTCGTCGTTTCCCTTTCAGGTTCCACTCGAGCTGTGGCCTGACGCGCGATGTCACCCAACGGCCTCCTCAGCCAGTGTCCAATCCATCTCCACTTTCTCCTGCATATTTGTTGAGCGATTGGTTCTTGTTTTGTTTGTTCCCATAGCTTCTTGTTGGTGATTCTTTCCGGCCATCTGATCTTCAGTATAGAACGAAGACAGTTGTTGATAAGGGTATGCAACAGGCTGTTGGAAATATTCTTTGTGACACACTGGCCAAGTTCCTGATCCGTATAGAAGAACTGACTGACTTGACGTTTGTATTGAAAATCCGAATTTTGTTGTTGATGCAGGCTGAGTGACGAAGATTTCCAGATTGGTTTCAGGTTAATGAATTTGTTTCTCGTCTTCCGGATTCTCGATTTGACACCCTCGTCTGTTCCTCCTGTAGTTGAGACGATGCTCCCTAGATAAGTGAATGAAATAACCTCTTTCAAATCCCTCCCGTTGATGGTGATTGGCGCTGGATGTTGTTGTTGGTTGGTTATTTTCATAACCGCCGTCTTGTCCATGTTCACCTGGAGTCCTGTCTTTGCTGCTTCTTCGACCAGTTTGTCGGTTTTCGCTTGTAAGTCTTCGATTTTGTGTGACATCAAGCATAAATCTAAACAGTTCGAGATGAAATGTCACGTTTTCTTTGAAACCAAAATTATAGCGTGATATATATATATATATATATATAAGTGTGGCACTCACCTTTGGAAGTATGTCAATATCATGCCGACGTACAGCCCTTTGTAATTTAGTTCGCGACCAAGAAAATTCTTGACACTGTTGTTTCGTAACATCATCATTAGACGGTTCGTTTCGTGCTGTTATATTACTGATTTCTTGTTCATTTTCATCACTGTTCTCTTGTAGTTGTTGCTGCTCTTCTACATCGAGTTGGCGTATCACATCAGAGATTTCATCGCCAATATGATTTCGTTGAATACTATTGTCATTAGCTGAATCACCAACAATTGTATTGTTCACATTCCCAAATGAATTAACATCTTCATCATTGTCATCAAAACTCTTTTGAGAATTATCACTAGTAATAATAACAATGATAACATTATAATAATAATATACATTGGATTGTTCAATCATAAGATAATAAAATCTATAAAACAAAGTTGTATTTGAAATTCAATACATATTACCTCCATAACAGAATATTGAACTTCCTTACTTATAACATAGCTGTTACTGTAAACACATGCTGACGAATTCTCTGAGAGTCACAAAGGCTTGAATGACAATCTCGCTTAATTTGGAAGCTGTCTAATACGCACTTATCTAAAAAGTCTGGTTGTTAGTCTTAACTTTTTGACCAAAAGAAATAACAGAAAGTGACCAGTGGAGACATTCGATACAATGATACGGGTGAGTCTAGTTCTTGATTCCTTCTGGACTTTACTACCTCACTTCCTCTTATTTTGTGTCACCTAAACTGTCGCTTTTTACCAACATGGTTTTGTTTTCCGTTTAACTAACTTTGTTTTGTTTCACCTAGCTGATGTGAAATTCAGTAAGTTGATTTAACAGGTATTCGTGTGGATGAATTCTTATAACCAAGAAGACTAGACTTCGACTATTCTGTAGTTTACTGTTTCTAAGCTTTAGGCGGTCGATAGAATGTAGCAATTATTACACAGTATTATCAGCTTTTAACCATTTTCTGCCGAGTCATTAGACTATGAGTAGAGATATATACTGGCTCACTACAGAAATATTATCACATATCTTGAACTAAGTAGCTTCCTTAAACTTGTTAGCCGTCAGCCTATACTAAGGCTTGCATATCTTTGACTTTCGAGGACAAATTTCTGAAGTTCATTTGTAGGAAAAATATTTCTTTTGGGTAGAAACCTTGTACCTAAGAAATAAATTCAATAGGACTGAAGCATACAAATAAATAGCTACGGCTTACAATGGTCCGGTAAACTTTTGAATATTTCTGATTCAATAATGTGAACTCACCTCAAAAACCAGGTTGATGACTTATGAGTAATTAAAGATGATTTAATCCCACTAAGATCCAAAACATTACCGCTAAAACTTGGGGAACTTGTGGGAATGTCAGACTGCTGATAAAGATAAGAATAATTGTAAAATGATCTTACAGGTTGATTTAAAAATTTTTCGAATTCAGGGAACCGTAAAGATGCTAGGACTCCGCCATAGTAATCATTACTTCGATAAATTGATGGATAAATAGAAATTTATTAATAATTACCGGTCAATATGAAGAATGTGCTTCCCAAGTATTGATAAGCTTGCTGAGATTAAGGACTCACTAAGACCTAAAATGTTTGAAAGAATACAACCAAACATACTCATATATAAAGAGTTAAGCAGAGAGGATGGTATCATTATAAACATAGTTTTTTTATAGATCTTTGACTGCAGAATGTTGACTGATAGTCAAGAGTAATAACATCAAATGAAATTACACAAAAGCCATAAATACTTAGTTGTGAACACTTATTTAACAGGGGAATTTTCGCACTTATTTTTAAACGACTGATCTACAACTGTAAACAATCGTTAATTCAGAACGTACGAATAATGCCCATCAAAAAAAAGACAGTATCCTCTAAACAACATGAGTAGAAAGCTGATAATTTTCAGAGTCTAAAATCTGTCAAGTGATACGCGACTGCTGCAGCACATGTCCTACTGTTTGAAAGCCAGGTGAGAAATCACTAGACCTGAAGAAGTTACAGTTAGATATAATTGTTGTTGTTAAATTACCTTCACGACAAGCTATTGGACCAATGAGGGAAACACTTTAGGGAAAGTGCATAATTTCTAGTTCAGTCTCAAGTTCAGAAGTAGGAGAAGACAATGGATACAAATAATGTCACATTCAATAGTGTTAAGAATAAAAACCTAGTATCACTAATCACTTCCGATGACTTTATGTCACAGGGACGAACTGACACTATATTCCTATTAAACTGACCACAAGTGGTCCAAAGTTTAGCGGTAACCTCGGAGTAGCAGACTTGGAAAATGAATTTTGCCTGTGCTGGAATGCATAACGAGCAGACAAATAACGGTTGTCTTATAGGACCCCGTGACTACAATAAAGCTTAAAATAAAATAATTCACTCAAATGTATCGAGTGCAGGCCTATATTGCTGTAGGATGAGGAATGGTACATTTTGGGTTGGAAATGTGACATAGAAGATCTTTGAGTGGAGTCTTACTAGTCATTTTAGTTCTTCTAATTTCGACTAGTTACCTCTCATTTCTGAAAACACAGGGAACGGCAACAAAGCTAATCAAATTTGTTTCAGCAGATGCTACACTATCTTTTATCTTTCTTTTTACTTTGGTCACTTTTTTGTGGTTCATTTTACGGCATTCTCTGTATACGAGACTCGTCTTAAAATAATTGTATTTAGCTCTTCAAAGTTATTCAAACTGACTGACCGAATGGTCTAGACGCAGGAGTCTGAAGGTTAATTTCAGTAAAAGTGTCATGATGTACTTCGGTCAGGTCTTCTTATATGAGTGGTGTATTAGCACTGCCTCATGTTACAGAAAAAAAGGACCCAAGGCATGTTGTCAATGATGCCATAAGAACTGCGACAGATTGGAATGTGATGGCCGCCAAAACATTTCGACTTAAACGTTATGCGACGAGTACAAAAGGAAGCTAGCAATTGTCCCGTGGGAAGTTTGCGAATAGCCCAAGGCGTTTTTCACCATCACATGGTTGACTGGTTTCAGCATAAAACTTCGCACAGAAGTCCACCAGTTTAATTCGCCACACTCCATTTAGCACACAGAAAAAACTGAGACTCAAAAGAACTGTAATAAGCAGAAATGTGAGGGAAAAAGAGTAGTAACACGGAAAAAGAATCACGGTTTAGTGGGCATGGCAGATCACATGGGTGAATGAATCTACGCCATTCAGGACGATTTTAAGCCATATCACCAACTATTTCAAACCATTGGTTTTTAGGATCCACAGGACCACAAACAGGAAGCCTACACTCCCCTATGTGGCCGAAACTAACTCAGAGATTTCAGGCGCTAATTTCGAGTTTTGGTTTGACCACCGCTAGCTCTTTTCATTATCATATAGTAGGATATATATACTATCTTAGATAATATCTTTGATAATAGCCTCCCTAATCTTTTTAACCCGATTAAGAATATCTCTAAAAGGGCATTATAAAAAGGTTCATAGGCAATGGTTTAATTAACCGTGTGGAATACGGACTCTTGCGTAGAGTGAATGACGAATGGAATCCATTACCAGAATTAGTGGTACAAGCCACTTCAGTGAACACCTCAAAGTAGAAACTAGGCTGTAACAGAAATACATATATTCATATTACAAGAATTGGTAAGGGTCTAACATCCTGCATACTCTGGATGTAGAAGATTCCTCTCCTATCTATTACAGAAATAACTGCATAGTCATAGCTTTTACGAGCGAACAAATGCATCTCTTGAAAACTAGTTCGAAGGGCATTTTAAAGGGTGTAGAATAGTTTTAAAATACACTTGAGCTCAAGGTTGAAAACAATTCAGCGGTTTAGAAAGGCATATTAAAATTGATAATCTAATTGCTAGCGGAATTCCGGTGAATACGGAAGACCTATTACAGTTTTAATGTCCGTCCAAATGTCTGTTTAGCACAGAAAGTTACTTGAAGTTCTCAATATGCTTGGATTCACTCAATTTAAAAATGAATGGTCCGGAGGTGCAGAAATTTCCCCAGATGCTCAAGGAGAACTATGTACAAATCCACCCAGAATTCTTTGATAGGGAAAATTCAGATAATAAAAGATAGTATACTATCCAATATGGGTAAAGTGGGTTAGTTATTTAGCATTTTAACCCCATTCTGCCCACGTCTATACCGATCAGAATTACCCGTTAAGCACTCATTGACCAGGTGCATTCTCTGACTAGGTAGGCCCTTGTGGCATATGTTAAGATACGCTTTTTTAGTTAGCAATGCTATTGATAGAGTAAACTAATAAATTGCACATGAAAAAAAATCAACGAATGATTCGCGGTAAGTCTTCGTAATATACCTGTCCCATCTACAACGCAATCAACTCGGTCGGGAAAATCCATTTGAACACGTTGACGAGAGTGACCCTGAGCAAGGACGATTGAAATATCCAATAACAAGGTCATTAGTTAAAAAAGCTGAACTCATGATAAATTCATGTGTTCATTATACTGGTGCACGGAAAAGCAAGTTTCTATTAGTATTCATAACTCGATCTAGCATGTTATGATAGTTTCCAATCTCGACATCCAATATCCAATATCCTGATTACGAGCTAGTATAAACCAGTGATTTCTTTGAGCTCGCTTCTTGATTGTAAGGTAGAGGTTCCAGATCTTCGGTGAACTTATGCGGAGTAAATCCCGCCACTCGACTGCTTTAGCTCTGGTAGACTCCAAGAGGAGTGGTGCGAGGATTGGTCAAGATTGTGGTTTGTATTGTGCAGTATGTTAGACTCAGCTGCTACCGTGAATGGAGTTTGACCTAACACCCGTTGGTCATTCGGTATAGTCATAAAAGTAGAATAGTAATAATAATAACAATAATAATAGTAGGTTGTAGTGTGGATAATATAGGTTGAGATAAGTGAAATAATAAAGAAAGAAAGAAAAGATAGAGTAGTCGGTACAGTGAGAGAAGACAGAACGGGTCGTGGGGATTTAGCTTGTATGCTTATCCATTGACAGTGTGGTCTTAAATTTTGAGGGGATAAGCCATTGAGACACAAACCTTGCATTTCTGCATGACTGTCAAGCTTCCGCTTAAAAGTCCCCACAGATGGCGCTGTAATCACGGCCGCCGGTAAAGCGTTCCAGAGACGGCAAACTCGAAGCGAAAAGAAATGTGAACGCACTAGAGTCTTTGGTCTCTGGTGTGCTATCCTTAGCGGGTTACCTCGTGGAAGCGCATAATCACTTAATGGCAGGATGCTTTTACTTGGGTGTGCCTGGTCATTTAAGATCATGTTGACGGTGATGAGGTCTCCCCTGTGATTACGATAACTAAGTGTGAAAAGACTTAGTTTCTTCAGTCTTTCCTCGTATAATTTGTTGCGGAGGCCAATCACCTATTTTGTCGCTCGTCTCTGGACACTTTCTAGAATGTTAGCATCCTATTTGAGTTGCGGAGGAGCGATGATATTATGCAGCTCAAGGTGTGTCCTCACATATATCTTATACAACCTAAAGAATAGTTCGGGGGTAAGAGATCCCAGCTGCCTATGCATAAAGTGTAAAGTTGCGTAGGCTTTGGCAACGCCCCTCCTGTAATTTCCACTGGTCTCTAGCTTTTCTGTTAGAATAAGACTCAGATCGCGCTCTGATGGCACACAACTTAAGTTCTGGCCACCAAGGGTGTAATTTGCACTCTGTGACCTGCCGGAATGAATAATAATATATATTTTCCTATCAATGTAGGACACACCAGTTGTACAGGCATGGATAAGTATTATTTAAATTACATGAATTTGATTTATAGTGAAATTACATGGTTGCTGTCCTCTCTGATATCAGTTAGTGAGCACATTCTGATAGTTAGTCGTTCAATGGAGCACATAAAGAAATATAGAAATATTGTCTTCGCATTAACAAAAAAAACCCAAGTACGTGTCGGATAAATTACAAATATTTGGGAAAAAAATAAAGCTTGAAGTCAATTCCTCTATATAACTTTGTTGTGTGCGGCATCGTATCTTGTTTTATGTTCAAATTGTGTATTAATTTAAAATGAGTGATTTATTTTTATGATTTTGACATCACTTAAATTGCAAGTAATACCAGATGTGAATTCAACTGAATGTAGATTAATATTGGTCATTGTCAAGCAGATTTGTTTTACTGCACTCAAGTCACCCATAGCCCGCCATTTGTCACAGCATGGTTGCTCCGTACGAGTAAGTTGATAAACGCGTAGAAAGCTATATAAAAACCATTTTAGATCGTTGACAGTGCTTGTATAAGATGCTGTACAGCGTCTTGTTATGGTGACAGTGGATTTCATCAAGGATGCTGAGCCATTACTAGCCAAACCTTGAGGGATGATATATGAGTAAGTGACTTCAATTGTTTCTCAGCTTCATTCGGAATGTAGATCAATGCAACTTGTACTACAAAGTAAATACAACAGAAATGTACCAGAGGACAAAGAAAAACCAGGTCGAGTCTAAAACATTTGATTATATTCGTTGTACATTGTAATTTGATGAACAAAAATTTGTTTCTACTATGTCTTTTTATGCATTTATGCTACTAGTTTATTTATGGTCTTTAGGGAAGTAAGGGTATTTAAGCGCGTTTAGGTACTGTAGTAGACTAATAGTTGATTCGTTCTAGGAATAAATAGTTTATTTATATAGTCGGTAGAGTGAAATAGTCTTTTTATGCATTTATGCTACTAGTTTATTTATAGTCTTTAGGGAAGTAAGGGTATTTAAGCGCGTTTAGGTACTGTAGTAGACTAATAGTTGATTCGTTCTAGGAATAAATAGTTTATTTATATAGTCGGTAGAGTGAAATAGTCTTTTTATGCATTTATGCTACTAGTTTATTTATAGTCTTTAGGGAAGTAAGGGTATTTAAGCGCGTTTAGGTACTGTAGTAGACTAATAGTTGATTCGTTCTAGGGATAAATAGTTTATTTATATAGTCAGTAGAGTGAAATAGTGTGTACAGAGAGCGTTTGAAACCTAAAACTGTATTACAGTTCCTGATATCTAGGGGCAGATTGTTCCATATTTTAGAATACATGACTGTGAAGAAGTTTTCGCGGAGTGTTGACTTAAAGGCTTTTATTGTCACTGTGCAATTTTGGTTACGCAGATCGTAAGAGCCTTCTTGCGCGAATTGTATGTCCTTAATGTCTGAGAATGATATTTTGTGTAGGACCTTATAGAAGAATACTAGGTTTATAATTAGTCGTCTTGTCCAGAGTGGGTCAAGTTGTAGAATCTTGCAACGTGAGATGTAGTCTTTCTTACATTCGTAGCCTAGTAGTTTCGAGGTAAAATATCGTTGGATACTTTCAATTCTTAGCTTTTCACGTGTGTGAGTGCTGCTAATAATAAATGGACAGTATTCTAGTAGTGGCCTCACACAGGTTTTGTACAGAATGAGCTTTGCTTCATTGTCGTGAAAGTTCCTGAGTATGCATCCTAAGAGCATCCTCGACTTTTGAGTCTGTGATGCCACTTGCTCAGAGAATGTTAGGTTACTCGAGTACCTCAGACCTAGGTCAACGACACTTTGGAGTTTCGTTAGGTTAGCCGATTGAAGCGTTAACCTTATGTCGATTGAGGGTGCACCGAAGCAGATCCAGCCACATTTTTTAAGGTTAAATTGGAGGTTCCATAAAGACGACCAAGCAGTCACTTTATCTAGTTCTTCTTGTACAACTTGCACTACTTTGCACTTCTTTAAGTTGAAAGGCATTCCGTTAGCCAGAGCCCAGTCTCCCAGCGTTTGCAGGTCAGCCTGCAATCTGTCGGAGTCTTCCGATGAGTTTATTGCTCTCCAAATCTTTACGTCGTCAGCGTAGAGAAGCGCAGAGCAATTCAGTTGACAGGGCAGGTCGTTGATAAAAATCAAAAACATCAACGGCCCTAAGATAGAACCCTGAGGAACCCCTGATGGCGAGGTGTGCCAGGATGATCGGATGCGGTTGACTTTGGTGCAGAATTCTCTCTCGCCTAAATAATCTTCCAACCATGCGAGAAGTGCTCCAGAAACACCCGCTTTGCTTATTTTGTGAAGGAGCAGACCATGGTGAACTGTGTCGAATGCTTTCGCAAAGTCGAGAAAGATCACATGGACTGGTACCTTTACATCCCATGATAGTGTCCAATCATTCCAAGCTAGTAGAAGATTCGTCACACACGATCTTCCCCTCCTGAAACCGTGCTGTGCTTCATGGAGTAGGTTAGTCCCGTCGAAATATTTTCTCATGTGGTCGTCAATGAGACTTTCCAATATCTTCGATATCACTGGAAGTAGCACAAATGGTCTGTAACTGGTCGCGTTCTGCCGGTCACCACTCTTGAAGATAGGGGATAGGATGGCTCTTTTCCATTCACATGGACGTTTCCCTAGATCAAAGGAGTGTTGAAACAGATCACTTAGGGGTTGGCAGAGACTTTCTGAACACTGCTTCGGGACGGATGGTCTTATGTCATCGCAACCTGCAGACTTTCTCAAAGTCAACTTTCCCAATTTTACGAGTACCATAGCCGAGGTAATTTGAAATGTACCCAGCAGGTTTTCGCACGTTGGTCTTGCATTGTAATCTTGATGTTTTGTGGGGGTAAAATCCTCGTTACTGTTCAGTTGCCTGTGAAAGGCTAGACTGAATGTCTCTGCCATTTCAAGACTAGTGAGAGATTTCCCATCAGAACCCACTATATTGCAAGCTCCCTGGTTGGTCGGTTTTCTTTCAGACATAAACCTGTATAGGCTTTGGCGGTTCACGAGAAGCTTATTGGCGAGGTTTCTCTGAAATGTCCTTCTATCACTCCGGACTCGTATGTTACGCGGATTCCTGAGTTCGAGGTACTCTTCATGTTCGGGTTGACTCTGCGATACTCGCCACGCAAACCAGGCTTTTCGCTTCGCCTGTAGAAGGCGTTGTGTCCCCCTTTTTAGCCATGAACGTTGCTTTCTAGCTTTAGGTGTGACCAAAAGAACAGTGTCTGAGATCGCCTGGTGAATGATCTCCTTTACCACTCCCCAGTGTTCTTCTACTGTAAGCTCTGTCCAATTTTTTGGCCAATTTGCTTCAGACAAAAGTCTTCGCATTTGGTGAAGTTGGCTTTGTTGTAACACAGATAGGGCTGTGTATTGTCCCACTGTAAACGCTCGCGGAGGACTATGTCGAATGTTATGACCGCGTGGTCACTGCTACCTATGGGAGTCGTGATCTGAACGTTTTCCACTAGTAGCTGGTCACTAGTGAGCACATAATCCAATCTAGAAGACTTCCCATCTGGGCCCCATCTAGTATCCATTCTGACATTTTCGGTGAATCCGGCCTCCGTGATGGTATGCAGCAGATTTCGACCAAATCTATCCTGGGCACATCCCGACATCAAGTTAAGAGATGGGGCACTGAAGTCTCCGGCTATGACAATTTGATCATA